TTTCCCTAACAGATCCAACCCTGATGGAAAAGTCACCTTCCTGCTCCAGAGGAAGAAACATGTCATTTTGGACCACTTTGAGCCACTGTGTGTTTCCACCAACTCGCCGTTTCCTCTGCCACGAGGCCAGCATGCCACAGCTCACCCACCATGGACATGACACAAGTAAGAAATAAATCCTTACTGTAACTAATGTTGTGGGGTTCTGTTAGCCTGAACTAGTAACAGCTGACTGATCCAGCAGACAAGATCATTCCCTTAGCCTACCTTTTATACTCCTGTCATTCTGTTAAGAATGATCACAAATTACATCACCAGTGGTATATATTTTTAATAGTTTTCAGAATATAAGCTGCATAGCTTTTTAGAATAAAAAATAATGATATAACATCAGGTCCATGCTTTAGGACACTTGGTTAAACAACAAGCAATCTTTGATGACCACCTCGAAAGGGTGGCAGACTTCACAGTGTAACTTGATAACAGATGTGGAGATAGACGGTTACATCATGGCATACTGTCTACAAAAGAACATTCTGACAGAACTTAAATAGAACACAGCACGCAGTTTCAAGTATTCAAGCACTGCTTTCTGGCCAAGTAAAAACTGCCTAAAAACCGTTGATGTATTTTCAGTGGGGGAAAAAAAAATAGATGTAGCTGCTTAGTTCTTCTGGATATATATATGTGTATATATATAGCATATCTTTTCCAGAATGACTGGCTCAGTCCAGCTTGAAAGCAGTGTGGGGAATGAATCTTCCCCTTAACTGGTAAGAAAAAAATGAACTAAAGAAATAAATTACTACAACAGGGACCGTGGCACTGAGAAAATGAAATAAAAGGAAAATCATCTTTCCATCATTGCATAGTCTCTCAAAGCAGCAAATGTGAAGGAGCACACTGGAAAGCCACTTCATTTTTACAGAGCCTAAGGATCATTTTTTTGATTACTTGAATTTCCATGTCTAGTCGCTTTATGAGCACACAGATACTGGAAGCTTCCTGCCCTTGAGACGGTCGTTCCTTGCACATGAAGCATGGTAAGAAAACACACACTCAGACTCTGAAAACTGCAGCTGTCTCAGCCACTTGACGGCTTTTAGGTCCACACTGTGGGCTTGGCAAGGGCGAATCCTAGAGGCGGGTCAAAAAGACAGCTTCCTTCAGGTCTTTATCCAAAGGACTGGCACAGTCCCGTGCTTCTGGGAGCACTTCCTCAAGGCAGGTGTCCAGGGTCCCTGCGAGGGGAAGCAGGCAGCTGGGCCCCCAAGGGTGGGGCTGGCTTCCTCTCAGGCAAGGGCTTCCAAGACAGGCAGCAGAGCAGCTATGCCCCAGCTTTGTTATAAGAATGGCAGCCTGGGCAAACCAAGGAATCCAAGAGCTTTCTTTACACTCTGAAATCATGTAAAATAAAATGTACATTGCAATACAGTTTTTTTAAATGTTGGAGGAAGTTTTATAAATCAGATCTAAGAACAAAGAATGTTTTAGAGCTCTGAGTTCAGAAATGGTTGTCCATAAGGTAGAAGCTGGGCAAGAAGTATGATATCTTGACTGTGGTCTGAAGTTTCACCTTTGGACTGTGATCTTTCTGGTCTACAGGTGGTCAGAGGCTGTCACCAACTCAAACCACTGCCTGAGAGCATCGCTGAGCGTCTCGGGAAGTGCATTCATATCACGAAGAATTATATAGAAGGGGAATGGGAACTCTTCCATGTAGGATCGGATTTCAGGCATCTCTCCAGGTCCTTTAAATATTGGTACTTTAATGTCCAAGATAGAATCCTGTTAACAGAAGACATTTTGAAATAAAAGCCAAATCAGTGTCCTTGGCTAGCTCTTCCATGACCTCTTTTGCTGACATTTTTTGTCTAATTCCTGCATATGAAAATAGCTTTTATTACTAAGTAAAACAAAATTTTCGGGACTCTCGTTGAGGAGGAAGCAGATCTCTAAGCACCCCTTCCAGGAGAATAGGCACAAAAAGGGAGGGAAAGGGATATAAGAAAACTTGATTTCTCCACAGTGGTGTCTTCCATTCTCAACGTGGACTAATTCACATTAAATCTTGCTATCTAGGCCTTACCATGACCTGTGGAGATAATGCTTCCCTTGGAACAGAACTGCCCCGTTTTCTTTCACTTGGCAACTGATGCGTCCTGCTCTGACAGCACTGCTGAGATACAAGTAACTGGGAAGGGCTTGACTACATTTCCACGTGAACAGGACCCATTGCTAAGAGTTGGCATAGTGCCCCCCTCACTGGATTATTGCGAGGTTAAATGAGAACATACTTATAAACTGCCTAAAACAATGCCTGACAGAACAGAGTTTTGAGTATGATGGTGTGACCCAGGCCATATTTCAGACAGAGTAGACTGAATGGCATCCTTGCTTTATCCTCAGAAAAGTGGCTTTGTCACTCACCCGTGAACTGGGATTATCCAACACAACAAAAATGACAAAGATCTTAGCATTCTGAGCAGCCTGAACTGCTGCCAGGACTCTGTCTTTGCCCTCAAGGAAAAGGCCGCGTCCGTCAGAGACCACCAGGAGGAGTTGTGCAGTGTCTATAGTAGGACATACAGCAGGAGAGGGAGGAAACAGAATGGAAATCCATTTTTAACAAATCACGACTACTTAAAGACAAATTAACATAGGCTTTCTCTGTACTATTAACATCAAAGAGATATGAAACCGATGAACTCTGGGCACAAAAGAGGCCTCTAATTAGATCTCTTACTTCGGATGCCAGTGTCAGGGACAAGGCTGCACACACACCCGCACAAAGCTGCTGTCAACAAAACAGTTTCCCAGTAGTGTTTCAGGGAATGTTGAATTTAGATCAGCTTCACTGTAGAGCAACATATAAGAGAACTAAAATACACATTTATGGCTATAAAATATTAAAATGCAGTAGAGTAGAAGTACCCAAATTTCATATACCTGACTTCTGTTTTTTCCTTGAAATTGATTTAAACAAAAAAATAGAAGGGACCAGTAAAATAAATGAATTAAATTTTTTTTTTAAGTTATATAACGTTTCCAGCAAAAGATTACAGCTGTTGAGGGCTATCTTTTCTCTGTCAAGGAAGGTTAGCAAGTGTTGAGAGTCATGAAAGACTTGTTTCAAACAGGTTTGTCCATGATACACTCAGAATTGAGATTTTTGTGAAAGAGCTAAAGAACAGGTGTTTCAAGCCTGAAATCAATCACGGCTAGATTAGTTGGTTTCTGCATTATGTCCTCGTCTGCTTTCCTGTGTTAATACTCTTCATACTTAATTCCACATACTTTGCTCCTTCCTTTCACAATACTAAACTCAATATCAGATACGCATATCATAGTTCATTGCAAACTAGTGTCTAATTCCTTGATTATAAGCCTCAAGAGTATGGTTTCAATAAATTTCGAATGAATAAAAAATTCCATGAATACCTCTCCATCTCCTGTTTATGTCTTTTCATGTAAAGCATACACTTTAAAAGATGCGATGGGTACAGTGAGATGAAGCAGTAAATTGCGAATACAGACAACAGAAATTCATTTTATTGAAGGCAGAAGAATGTAGCTCACCTGGACTGACGTTTTGCGAGAGCTGCTGGGCGGCTGCAAACATGTTGGCTACAGACTCTAGAAACTAAATAGACAAAACCTATTTAAATTCTCTTTCCACTATCAGCCTGAAGCTACTTCTGACACGTTAAGTGGTTATCTATAGGCAATCAAACTGTCTTTTCAAGTGGGTCCTGTAGTAAAGGACCCACTGTTTGGCATTTATCTTTGGGTACTGGCATTGTCAAACAGATGTGTCTCAGGCATATACCCCACTAGTTTTCTATAAGACACCCCCAAGGAAAAGAAATACTTTCCCTGGGGGGATAATAAGTAATTCGCCCCAAACAAACAGCTATCATTTTTTAAAGAAAACTCAGCAAAAAAAAAAAAGCAAGAAAATAAATGTCCAGTGTGACATAAAGAGGCTAAATGAGGGCAGGAATCAGGACATCAGAATTATCCCATGCTATATTTTGAATTTATGTCATCCTGAGCAAGTCGCTGGCTCAACCACCATGGACGTGACACACATAAGAAATAAACCATTACTGTAAGCCACGGATGTAGGGTCATGTTAGCCTAAACTAGTGACAGCTGACTGATGCAGCAGACAAGACCTGGCTTTATTTTACATCATTTCTTCTCTAGGCTAAATGGGGGAGAGAAACTGGTCTTGACCCACCTGATAAGGGTACTGGGAGATGGTTTACTTTTCAAAATGTTTCCAGCCTCAAAAAAATAGCCAAAATATCAATGATACAAAGTCAAAAATGATCTTTGAGAGACTAAGAAAAAGAGGTTACACCATGTTTAACAATGAGTGCCACGGAGGTTTCTTTTCCAGTGGTACACAGGCTGGGGTTTAGGACTAATCTTTATTGTAAATTATACCTGCCCTAATACCATATTGGGGAGGAGGCAGTTCTAAAAATTATGTCTCCTAAACCAGAAGAACAACTATGCAGAATACATTTGATGTCAGCGTACCTGAGCAATCTTGGTTTTCTTTTGTTGGAATTTGCAGAGCCGCAGAATCTGGGACCCTGAGTAATCACTGAACTGTTCGTGGAATGGGTGTAACAGTTTTACAGATTCTCCAAAACTTGAGGGAGAAAAACCAAATACAGTGAGGGTTATTTGTCACGTAAACAAAATTGGTTTTCCTAATGGAATTAAAAGGCACCCTTACCTGCACACTGCAATCTGACCCACTTCCAGAAGGGTTAGAGCATTTCCAATCACAGCCAAAGATTCAAATGCAAGCTGTGAAACAAAGTTAAGGGTTGAAAGAATCAGAATATCCTCTAGCGCAGTGCCTTTCAACTTTTTCTATACCAAGATTCCCACAGAAAATGTTTTTGTATGACCCAACACCACCAATACAGCTATTCACAACCAACCCAGAGGCTTTGGTGGCTTTAGTCAGGTCCTGGCTAATACCACAAATGCTGAAACTGAGAATCCATTACACTGGAAGGAAAAGTCTGCTCTAGACATCATCCACTGAAAGCGATCTGGAGAGATTAGGTCCACAAATTTTTAATTTTAAAAGTCGTTTTTTGACTACCTAAAAAGTAATCTCTTATGAGTAAAGATTTTACAAACTAATTTAATCTATGCATAAATTACAGCATAGTTTTAAATTTTGAATTCAGTTAAAAAGATGACACTTATAGCAACTAACATCTACTAAAAACATCAAGTGCTAGATATTAAACCAAGAGCTCTACATCCATTTTGTTTCATCTTCATAGCAACTCTGAGTTTGAAGCAGATATTGCTATAATCCTCATTTTTCAGATTGACACTTAAACAAATTGCCCAAATTCATGTAATAGTAACATGGTGGTGGGGAACTGGTATTTGAACCCAGGTTCAGAGATTACACTTTTTCCAGCAGAGTATATGTATAGATTTTAGGTTGCTCACTGGCTCATGCTGGATAATGGCATCACTGCAAAAATCAACATATACTTCAGCATCCATAATATTACTTACGGTATCATAAGTAATTCTATCCAGGCTCCTAAGTCTTGTTAATACTGACTGGTAGAACATTAATTCTGCATAATTTAAGACTTAAAGAAACGTGTAGTGAATATATTTTTTTTTAAAAAAGATTCAGATTATGTTGTGCATGGTCTAAAGAATAGTTTAATAGTACATCAAATTTTGTGGAAAATACACATTGTTAAGATTTACTTATTCTGCAGCTAGACAATAGCATAGCAAGGCTAAGAAACAAAACAATATAAAAGACCTATAACAATATGGAACCAAAATACTTGAGGCATCTTGAAATTGCCCCTTTGAAGTCTTTAAATTTTAAAGACTTCTCAAACATGGTATTCATGTTCTCAGAACAGACGAATTGGTATTGCAAAGTGTTTTTTGCCAGATCGCAATTAAAACATTTGGTGGCCCATGGAACATGGTTAGGTGTTTATTTCTCATCAAACTGCCACTACTTCTCTTCCGTACCTGTTTGGTGTGGTTGTCTACCATGCTAGAAGAGTCATCAATAGCCAAACAAATCTGATACTGGCGTTTACTGGGCTTGGTCCTCCGAAGCCAAATCTTGTCTTTTCGAAACTGACTAGCAATGTACGGGATGACCTTCCGCAGGTTCAGTCGCTTCCCAGTCCGATAGTCTCCTCTATCAAATTTACCCAAAGGGGCAAAGGTTAGTCAACTGCTCATTCCTTAAGAATTTCTTCAAAGAAATATCTTATTAATATCTTATTACCGATTATACCAAAGAATGAGTAACCTGGCACAATGAAGCGTTACTGCAATTAAGGTTTAAGAGCCAGGCTCATCTTGATCAGAAGCCAGAAGAGCTGGTTATGTATGTGGCAACAATAATTAGGTTAAAAAAAACTGAGACATTTAAAAAAATTACAAAATAAGATGTTTGCATTGAATATTAAGTCTTGGCTTCTCTTTCTGTTCTAAAGCTATGATTTTGGATACAATTTTATCCAAAAGGTCTACGTAACATGTGGCAAGTGAGTAAAACAAAGTGTAGCAAGGTGAGCAACATGCATACACAAAGGCTCAGCCAATTACCCCATCAGATATAAATGAAACTCTTCATATCAAACTTCACAGAAACCTGTGGTAGAGATATAACATGATAGCAGGATACTGAACACCATACTGGTGCCTGTGCAGTAGAAACAGTAATCTAGAAGCCAACCTATAAACAGTTAGGTGCTGAACTCAACGGAAAAGGTGACACTGCCATCTTTTCAGGGCACTGTAAATGCGTCAAATGAAGAAGACTTACTTCAGTTTGGCTGCCTGGGTAGGCTCTAATATGAGACGAAGTTGTTCACACAACTGTTGTGAAAGAGGCGCAGTTAAGACCAGGTAACTCTGCCACATCTCAGCGGCAGCCTTCTCCTGTGACAACAAAAACCACATGTAAGTTACCCTTACAATGTCAGAGTCGACCAAAGTCATTACAGCAAGACGAAGGCTTGAAGCTAAGTAGCAGAAAGTGACTTGCATAAACTTTCTCAACAGAAGCACTTTAAAGCGTCTCTTAGCAAGCTGCAATCTAATTCACTTGATTAAAAATGTCTCTCCTTCCACCAAAACCACAATCCACAGTTCCAATTGAGAATTAAAGCAGTAAAATTTAGAATTCATGGTGGTGGCTCCATAGTGTAGTGCTTAGCACGTCTGCTTTACACACAGAAGGTCCTGGGTTCGTGCCCCAGGTGGAGCCACGGACCATACCACAAGTGCGCCAGGCCCCAGGTGTGCGCCACAAGCACATGAGAGGAGATGCCCCACCTTCAGATATCCAGTTCTGAAGGGGAGATGGCAACATCCGTAGGTCAAGGATGGAAGTGGGGGAGTGGAGGGAATTAAAGAGGGGAAAAAATTAGAATTCATGACCAAATCAATGCCTTATTCACATCTCCTACAGAGAGTATAACCTGAACCCTTCATGTGAACAGGGAGCTGTGAATGGGTAATTCTGGTGCCAGCAGATCCAGCCACTTAATCATGGGCTCTCAGGGTCATGTTTCAAAAGCAAAAGTGACAAGTGCAAATCTCTTAAGTAACACACTCAGCAATGTGCTTATTCCTGGGCACAAAGCTCCATGATTTTTTGCCAACTTTGATGGAGCAGTCAATACACATATTGGTGGGGATCATGATTACAGATATAAAACTAAAATATGTATATGTCGAGTAAATTTAAGATGCAAAGTCATTAAGAATGAAACTTCTGGTCAATCTACATTTCCACATATGCCGGCTGGCAATGTTCCAGGTGTCCTATTCTGAGGATGACAGAGTATCATTTTGCCCTATTTTTCTTAGACTAAAGGAAGTTAAAGAATTAAACAATTTTTTTTTGTTGTTGTTTTAATTAAGCTACAGGTCTAGTGGCAAAGCAGGCAAAAAGCAATGGATAGACTTAGGATTCAGGATTGTACTTATATTCTCCATAGACTCAGTCTCTTTTACAAAGGTTACTGGAGCTAAGAACCTATTAAGTTTGCTGTATCTGAACAAAAGCCAAGATATTTTATGAAAAGACCAGTGACTTACTTCTTCTGGGTTTCCAGATTCGTGTGGCTGCCATGTTTCCAGCTGTCTCTCCAGCTCCTGTCTTAGCTCACTGACATCTTTCAAAAAGGGCTAAGAAGAAAAGAACCACAGATGAGAGGCAGCCCAGGTTGGAAATGCTAACACTATCACTGGCTGCCTTCTTTCCTGTAGTATAAACTTCAAGTACATACCCCTGATATGTGAAACAAGCAAACTTAATGACCCAGTTCATCAGCTCTTCCTAAATGCAGGCATTAAGTCAAAAACTTTTTAAAAACTTTCTGAATAGTCATTTCTTTAAGAAAATTTTAATTACAGTTGACATACAATATTAGTTTTAGGTGTACAACATAGTGATTCCTATGTAGGCATTTACATAACCTACAAAGTGATCACCTTGATAAATATAGCACCCATCTGATGTCATACACAGTCATTACAATATCATTGACTATATTCCCTATGCTGTACTTCACATCCCCATGACTATTTTGTAACTACTAATTTGTACATCTTAATCTCTTCCTCTTTTTCACCGCCCCACCAAATCTGGCAACCATCAAAATGTTTTCTTTACGAGTTTTTCTATTTTGTTTGTTTGTTTATTGTTTTTTAGATTCCACATTCTTGCTACTTAACATAAACTGTTGACTGTCCTCTAGTCTCCTCACACAAGGATGGTGGATGTAAGAGGAAATTTGAGAGCTGGAGGCCCAAGAACCAGACCCGCCATCATGGCAGGTGAGGATAACGACCACCACTGTGACCCTGGGATTAACCATCAGAACAGAACAGTGCTTTATCTGCTTAAAGAGCACCTGTCCTATCAACAGTATTCCTAAATATTTTAATAAGCATATGATACCCCAAACAACCAGATGTTCCATAAAGTTCTTAAGACAAAGATTTAAAAGCAACTGATAATTACATTTTGTCGATTTATTAAAGCAGTAACTAATGAAAGTTTTAGTACCTGGAAAACCGTGTCCACAAGGAACTGATGGGCTGTATGAATGGTTGAATCTTGGCTTCTCTCTAGTTTCTCATTCTCAGTCTCCTTGTGGGATTTGTCTGTCTTGGGGTCTTGGTCATCCTCTGTTTTAACGGTCTGGGTCTCCATCTCATCAAAAGCTATTTTTATACAAAGACGTAATTTTACTTACCATAATATTAACATAAAGACTGAACCTTCATGGTTGCTTTTCGATACTAAGAACTACTAAAACTTCATTCATTCACTGCCCAATATATTCTTTCTCTTTGAGACTGTCATTGCCAATTTTTATTCCCCTAACTTCTCCTCCTCTCCACCCTGATGTTGAAGGTGGCTGTTCTGGGGAGGTGAGAATAGGGGAGACTATAGTTATGCTGGCAAACCTTGTAGAACTATGTGATTCTTTAAACTATGTGATTCTTTAAACTATGTGCAGGTACAACTTTAATAAAAATAAAAATTAAAATCAAAGTTCTACTTTATAAATAAAGGAACTGAGGCAAAGAAAAGGTGAATAATTTGCATCAACCTGTGAAGTGAGTAAGAGGTAAAGTCTAGGTTTCAATCTAGAGAAGTCTAATCACAGAGCTGTGCCTTTCCTCTGTCATGTAATGGCTAGTCAGTCAATAGTTCTAACACTATTGACAGGAAAGGACAGGAAAGGAGCCAAAGAAAAAAACTTTTGAATTTGGCAAGTTCTTCTGAATTTGCATTTATTCTATTGCTGATAGTTTTTTTAAAACTGCTGATATTTTTAACATTGAATACATTTTTTAAAATGAAATGGAACTGTATGTAAGGAGACTTGTTACTTTCTCACATGCATTTTTCTCATTCTATTTCTTTAAATATTTTACTGCATTTTATGTTAATATTATATATGTTCATATAAGTGAAAACATTATTTCTCTAATAATCGAGAATATATTTCCTTGTCACAACTAGAGTAAGTGATCTATTTTAAAAAGACTAATGGGATTTTGTCTGAAACTCAAGTTTCAGAGGTCTCCTTGAAAAACAGTGTCCTGCAACACCACTCCTCTGCCTTTCCACTCCCCAAGAAAATATAGTGAAATTATTATAAGCAAATGAATGTCTAAGCCATAGGTTAGGACACGGAAATAACAGACCAGACTAGACTTACGGTTCGAAAGAAGAGACTTCTCTAAGCCAGACAGCTCAGAAGGGATCTGTTCCCCCTGTAGGACTCACCAGAGCTTGCCATGGCCCCTGACTTGACCTCCTCTGGCTTCAGCTGCTCCGTATCTACTGCTTTGAGCTCCTCCTGATCATCCATGTCCATTAAGGCATCCTCTATCTCCTCCTCCTCCTGATCTTTGCTGGAGTCTTTTGCAGACTGTTGCTGCTCCATGCTGGCTACATCTACCAACAAAGTACACACACATGTAGAAAGCCTAGGTCTTTGCAGAACAAAGTAATCATAAGTGGGTGTGGCCTCTGTCATTTCTAGCTTCCAAGATTCTACTAATGCTGGTTCTGCCATTGATTGGCTATGTGGCTTGGACAAAGTGCTTGACTTGTCTGTGCCCAAGATGTCCTACTGACCTACTGATGTAGCTGCCTATTCTTTACCCTCGATAGGAGCTACAAGGATATAGTGTAAACTACACATGGGACCACAGAAGTAGGATGTTTAGCTGGGTTTTTACTGCTATGACCAGAGGCTAAACCAGAACAAACAGACTGGGCACATGATTCAGAGCAGCTAATGGAATTATCTCCCATTACTAAGTTATGGGTGGAGAAACGGCAGTGATTAAGAATACAACATGGGGCATAGAAAGATCAATGTGAGAATCCCAGCATTCTGATCTTGAACAAGTTCATAAACTTCTTTGGCCTCACTGTGCTCATCTATAAAATGGAAATGATCTAGCTCATGAGATTACTATAGAAATTCCATGACCATGTAGTAAAGGCTCGGAATAGTGTTTGGCACAAAGTAGAAGCTCAAAGCATGGTAGCTATTATTGTTACTGCTTTAATTTTCTAATGAGTAGGCACAGAAGAGCGATCATTTTTGTACTATCCTCATAGGTAAATATTATCAACACTATTTTACATATTAGAAATGAAACAGTGAAAAGTCACCAAGAACCAGAAGAGGAGACTGATGTTAAGATTTTTTTCCTCCCCTTTTCACTTACAGAGAAAACATATTTTTTGAGTTCACAGCTCTTGCCATTGCAGGGAGCAACCTCAAAGTGACTGACTATGAAGAAATGTCCAGTACTCAAAAACCCTGAGATCAGCACTGGGTTTGGATATGGCCAATGGTTACCAAGGATATTTAACAGGCTTACAGTAGACCCAGAAACTCTGAACATTTACACTTGGCTACAGGTATCTTTAAACTCTTTAAACCAAAAATAAGTTATATCTGTGCACAGATATTAGAGAGAAAATAGTTTTAAAAAGCCATTCCCCTCCTTCCAAAAAAGAATTTGTAATAACACCTGGCAGACACATAGTCATACAGCGTAAGCTATCTCAGAAAGTTCAGTGAGCAAAGGACAAGCCTTCCCTGTACCTACCGTAGGTCTGTGCATCGTAAGGGTCATCCCCTTCTCTAATGTGTTCAAACGCATCTGCATCCTCTGCCTGGGGCTGGGGCTGGGGCTGGGAGAGCCCCTGCTCAGTGCGGCTGTCTGTATCCACAGTCCTCAGCCTTTTATGCACATGCTCATTGTGATCACCCATGGAGCGTTCATTGTCAGCCTGTCCAGGTTTCCTCTTAAAACTCTGTGGGAAATACAGGGAAATAATTCAGAGCCTTGTCTGTAATAGCAAAAAGACCAAAAATAACCTTAAAGTCCATCCATACAGAGCTAGTTAAGAAAATCAGGTACAGCCATATGAAAATGGAATTCAATGCAGCTGTTAAAAAGAAGAAGCAGATCTTGATATACATATACGCGACATTCCCTGATATACTTTTATATCTGAATAAAGGTAAGGAAGAAACAGACACACGTTATATATGCAGAAAAGATCTCTGAAAGAATACAAAACTGGTAGCGCCAATTTGCTCTGGGAAGGGTCCCTGGGTGGCTTGAGGACAGGGATAGCATGGAAGCTTTTTAGGGGATTAGTTTTTATAAACCAATTTTGTACCATGTGCATAAATTACACCCCATTTAAAAAAACTCTTATTTTTAAAACACAGAAGACTATAGACAGTGGAAAGGGTAATACTGGTTGGTGCTGGGCAGCAGCGCACAGCACCAGGTTCTCAGGCTGCATAACCGAAACAGGGTGTGTGTGTCCATGTCCTTGCATAGTGAAGAAGCCCCAGTGACAGGGTTCCACTTGGAAAGCCCCATGGTCCTGGTTTGCTCGGCAGGGCTGCCATCATGTCTAGCAGAACAGGGATGGCAAATGCAGGGAAGGAGGCTTTTCTTTTTCTTTTTTTTTTAAATCACTATGTTTACAGCATCTTTTGCTACATGCAGCCTTCATTTTAGTTGAAGAGTCATAGAGACCTGTGTGTTTTTCCTGGTCTGTTTCTGGGAAGCCAACCGAGCGATGAAGTTGGATTCATGGCCTTCTGCCTGGTTTGCATCCGCAGATCCACTCCCGTGTTCCTATAAAATCCAAGCCATAAAATAATAAGGGTGGAGGAAGCTACCAAGCACCTGGTTACTGCGCTGCATTGTGTATGACTTCTCTCACCATTATTCTCATGTCAGAGTCAAATAATCACACCTGCCTGCCTGCTCTGGAACTCACCCATGACTAAAGCCTGGCCTGTGGGCAGAAACAGGAGCATCTAGACCTGGATCTGTTACCCTCTTGGGTGACTTTGCTTTGCAAGGCTGATTAGTACTTTGTTTACAGGAGCGTAATGGCTTATTCTGAAGGCAGGACAGACCTCAATTATAAACCAGGCTTCATCAGCAACCAACTGTGTGCCCTGGAGATTTCCAATTAACTTTACTGAGGGTTATTTAACAAAAATATAAGATGGAGAAAACAGTAAGAACAATAATATCAGCTATCTTATAGAGCTACTGAGAAGACTTGCTGAAGTAATAAGAAGGACTTGCTGAAGTAATGAGAATGCTTAGCATCTAATGGGTGTTCAATAAATGGGGTGGAGCTGTTATTACCAGTGAGAAAACTGGTGCTTAGAGAGGCTTAAGAAGCTAGCAGAGTAACCATAGTAACAGCAAGCCCTCTGATTTTGTGCTCTTTCCATAGCATGCCAGAAGCCTTTAACTGTAGCCATATATATAACACAACACTTTACATCAAGGAATAAAGAAATGCCTTGCTTTCTAAATTAAAATGTTTAGAAGACTGGTGAACAGCAAGGAAAAGGGAAGCACTATTAGAGGCACATTACTGCATCAAGTCTGAATTCTACCTTTCTTTCCTTGGGAGTATTCTAAAAAATAAAATGAACCTGATTCTCCCATGAAAAACTACCAGTCTAATAACTTTTTTCATTAAGCATATCACTTAAATACAGTGTATAGCAAATATTCTGGGGTTTCTTCTGGCATATAAAATAGGTCTATGATCATTTTCTCAAAGAACAAGAGATGATCTTTTAGATGTCAACAACAAATAAACATCACACGTAAACCAACCACTGCTAAATAAAACACAGGGTCACAGAGGGAGACCCTCCTAAGAGGCAGCTGGCCGAGGTAACAGGGAACTCTCACCTCCTTCCCCTGCTCCTTCTCGGGTGCAGCCCCAGCCAGCTCCACAGCCTGCGCGCTCTGCACGTTCTCCACCCCGGTCTGCCCACAAGAGTCGTGCTCCTTCCTCTCTGTAGCCTCTGGCACCTCCTCTTCTGTGTCAGAGTTCTCCCCTTCTTCTTTTTCTTCCTTCTTCGGGAAAATCAAACACAGCATTAAATGCTCTGGGGAAAGAACATGAGGTAGGGAACCCTTGCATTAAGCAGACAACCCACTCCTCACCAAGGGGAGTCTGCAGGGAGGGGATCAGCCAGTGAGGGTCTTAAAACAGAAAATGAAAGCTGCTTGACAGCGCCACCTGGTGGTGAAGTACTCTAAAAGATTCTAGAGGGACTAATAATTTCTCATTATTTCTAATATAAGACAAACCAGACATCTCACAATACCTGAGGCTGAAGACCCTGGTCAACAGAGACACTATTCTCTGCACTTTCCTCACTGGCTTCTGCATTGTTGTCCTTGTCCTCCAGAGACTGTTGCTCCTCCTCTGAGCTTTCTTCAGGATGTTCAGCTGTGTCTTTGTTTTGGTCATCAGTTCCTGTGTCCATCTCTTTCTCCTCCTCCACTTTGTCATCTTCACCGGGGCCTTCCTCAGGCTCATTTTGAGCCTGACCTTCATTCTGATCAGGCTCAGTCTCTTCATCTATTTCCTCAGCTTCGTGACCCATTTCTTCAGTGTCCAGTGGTTTTTCTTTAATTTCCAAAGGATTCTCTTCTGGGTAGATATAATAAAAAGAAGGAACAAAGAATTTTTAAAAAATGTATTTCTTAAGATGGGATGTACTTAAGTGTTTTGTTTTTTTATTTTTCTCAAACCAGGAGTTGGCAAACTATGGCTGGCCCTCAAGCCTAATCTGGCATCTACAAGTTCCTGTAAATCAAGTTTTATTGGAACACAGCAACATCCATTCACTTACTTTGGTGTTTACCCCGACCATTCTGTACTGCCTATGGCTGCTTTCACACTACAATAGCAGAGCTGAGTATGTGAGACCTCTATCGTAGCTTATGGCCTACAAAGCCTAATTTATTACCTGCCCGTTTATAGAAAACCTTTGCCTTCCTCTGCTCTAAGCCACATATACATATCAAAATTGATTGGGTGGTGGGATTCTTTAAATAAGTAATCCACTAAAAAATCCCAAAAGCCACTGCAATAGGAACATTTTAGACCACAGATAGGAAATTTCAATCTAATTTTCAATTATCATTGGAAATAATTGATGGACATCATTCTCTATCATACATAGAAAGCACAACGCATACTCAAATGGAAACAATCCTATTTGAAAAAGTTTTATTTAAAAAACTTTTTTATACTTTGGACACTACAGAAGTCACTTACTTTGTTAGCAAATACTTCTTTAAAATAACCGCTCCTTAGTTTATATATATAAAAGCTTTAAATGAGCCTGATGTTTTTCTAGGGCAATGGCTTATTATACTTTCAGTGGATTTTCATTTTCTTAATTTTCTTACATTTGCTTGCTTGTTAAAGTTGAAGTCAGATTCCAAAATTATAAGTTAATGAAATAGCCTCGGAAGCAACAACTTACACTATATTATAAAGTAAACTAGGGACTCAGAGCAAAGAATTTTCTGAGCATCAGGAAAGCCTATATCAATTCCTTGACCAAATGGTTGTACTTATGTAGCAAGCTCACAATTTTATTTTTATTAACCAAATACTTTAAACATGGGAAATGCATTTTAAATTTATGAGAACATATACTCAACCTTCCAGATTTAATGGATGTTAACATTTTGTCACACTTGTATAAAACTTCTGTCTCTTGTTTGTAAGAAATAAATGGTTCTGAATACAACTATCTGGATTCTGAAGGCTTTTGCCCTTCCTATTTCCTTAGATGTCATCAAAACCTGAAGTTGTGTATTTTTCCTTTCCATATTCTCGTACATTTGATATATTAATAAACAATATATGGTATTGTTTCTAGTATGAAATTTGTATATAAATGATACTTATTCTTTCACTAATTACTATTTTTGTTCTGATATGGCATTAAAAAAATTTTTTTAATAGCTTTACTAAATATGTAACTGATTCATTAAAAGGTAGAGTGAGGCTAGCTCACATCTGTCTGGTTACCCACCTTGATAGAAGCCTACTATTACAGAAACGCCTCCTCCACAATGCTTCCAACTAATACCAGATGATACTCTTAGGGAATCACCTGGGTTGAAGAATGAGTGACAAAGGCACTAGATAACTGTCATGTGCCTTGTGACCGATTTCTCTTGGGATCATTCAATTTCATTCCCTATTATAATGACTTTATATTTCAGGCTAAACACAACATAAGCATAACAATCAATAACTGAAGTAATCATTCCCCTAAAAAAGCTGTAACTGGGCTCTGTGAGAAGCCTGGGTATACCCAGACTGCACAGTGTTTACCTCAACCCATGAGATGGGGCACATAGTGATGGCTGTGGGGAGATGGAGCTATGTGCGATGAAGCACTCCCCAGCAGAATTAAACGCAGAACTACAAATGACAGTAGTGAGAGACCTGCTGGTTTACAAGCTTTATGTCAACTCAGATGAGAAACACTACAAAGAAAAAGCAAACAATTTTCACAAACTGGAATTGAGCTGACTCAACATGATTTATAAATGACCTGGCCATGACACTGGCATGAAGAGAAATTGGTTACTAATTTTCAATGAGTTCCAACTGGACTTTCAGGTTTCAAATGACACACCTTCTCCTTCTTCATGGTCTGTGTCCTCACCACCATTCTTGTCTTCACTGTCTAGGTTCAAATCATCAGGAAGGTCCAGGGCCTCAGGTTCTGGTAGCGTTTCCTGATTGCCATGGTAAGGGTCCACCTCATTCTCATCATATTCCCTCTTTGAACAATAGAGAGAACAGAATAAATAATAACTAAAATTTTTTAAAAAGTAGCATTCACATATAATTAGCTCAAAGTAGTTATGCTGAAAGAATACAGCTTCTCTGCTCTAAAATTAACATTAGAATTTTACTAACATTTTTAGAATTTTTATGTTGGTATTTCAAACTTCACTTCTTGTGTGGCTTCTCCACTGATAAGAGATTCTATGTTACTTGATCTCAAAGAAGAAACTGAAGTTTATGAGAAGAAACAGAAAAGGATTCAGGTTTTAGCTTCCAAACTACAGCATGAGCCTAAGTAACCAATAATTAAGATGTTTTATGTCCTGATCGGAGGCTCTGTTTTATACTCTTTTATAAGACAAAGGGAAAACAATCGATGAACAGGAAAACACTGCTTTGAGATGCCCTGAGAGCCATGTAGTGCAGTGGCCCTGGCCTTGAATTGGGAGAGCGAATCAGTTCTGAATCCTCATTACCTCATCTATTTGTTCATTAATTTTGTCTTGGCCTTGTCCATCATCATCAGCTTCTGCTTCTTCCTTTTCTTCTCTTTTATCTTGCTGGTTTTTATCTCTGTTTGATTTCCCAGAATTCAGGTTGTCATCTTTAGCAACAAGTCCACAATCTTCCTATATGTCACAGGCAGAAAAACATGAAATCACTCTCAATCTAAGAAACTGCTTTCACACAGGTTGACTCTACCTAATATAGTTCTTAGACATGTATAATTCTGCCTGCTGGGCCTACTATCCCATGGAAATATCCAGCTGACAGGTCATCACCCATGATCTGGAGAGAATAGTCTGGGTCTGATCAGATAGCACAGTAATAGGAGGTGTTTGAAGTGGAGTGGTCACGCTGTGCTGTTGCAGTGTCACAACCAGCCTGGGAGTGCTAAGCAGGGAACTGGAAAAGTTCAGTGGCCAACAGGAGAATCAGAGAGTCTGCGCTGAGTCTTCTTAATGTCTCTCCTCCATAACACATGGATGGCTCAGGTCAAACTACTCTCTTAGCTCTGAATCAATCAGTAAAGTATAGAGGAGAAAAAAAAAAAGAAAACAGACATGGAAGAAAAAGAAGAAAAACAAAGACAAAAGAGCAGTAAATGACAGCAGTTGGTGGGAAGACTGTCTCCTCTCAACCTGCGGACTATGGGATAGGGGAATTTTTTAATTACCTCATCCATTCCTGGTCCTGTTTCTTCAGTTTTAGTGTCTTCTTCTTCCTCCTCCTCTTCCTCCTCATCGTCATCACCCCAAAGCCTCTCATCTAGTTTGTCAGCTTCCTCACCATTCAGATCACCCATCTGTTTATCCAAGTCTCCACTCTCACTATCTGATTTTTCATCATCCTCTTCTGAAAGAGAAAGCATAGAGCCCAGTTAGACAGATCCACAAACTGACCTCATCCTGTGTGTGTAGGAGAGACATGGACCAACTATGTGGCCAGAGCCCAACCTGGAACTTGCTGCCTACTTGTACAGAACACTCTACTGGCAGATGCCTTTAGATCTGCTGAAGTAGTCCTACTGTGTTTTGCAAACTGTTTCAACGAACAAGAAAGTCTGCAGTGTGTTATGTTAACGGACTATTATAATGGTGTCAGGATGTCTAGTTATGGTGCTGAGGGAATATTCATCATGAAACGGAGCAACCATGCTGATTTTTTATTTCTTATCTGTAAAATGATAGAGTTGGACAACATGATTTCCAAAGTTCCGCCCCCATTTCCAACATACTATACCTCTATAATTTTATCCAGTATCTAAAATCATGTTTATAGCTCAATTAAGCAGCATTTCCTTGCCACTGTCTTTGCCAAAGGTTATGTCCTTATGCTGCTTTTTTGTTTTTTAAAGGGTCTCTTATGCCAAAGGTTATGTCCTTATGCTGCTTAGGCAGGTGGACACACTTCTACTCTGGGATCAGCTTTCATTTCTGCAAGATCTTCTCTTAGAATAAGACACTGTATCTCAAATTAAGCTTGGAGAGAAATTTAGGGCAAAAGCTGAATTATAGTATAAAAATATGACAGATGATGTGTTGTAAAAAATCATATTCTCAATTTTTAATGACAAGGTAATGTTCATAATATGTTAAAGGAAAAAAGCAGACTATAGAACTGTTTATGGTCTGTGAGTATACATATGCAATACATGAAAGAAATAAACCAAAATTTATTATGTGGTTTGGGTGATAGGCCTAAAGGGTATCTATTTCTTTCCAGCATTTTTGTTTCAAATTTTCTACAACAACTATCTACTATTTTTGTAACTAGGAAAAAAAGCAGTTATTTTTAAAAAACTACCCTGAACAATTAACTTTTGAACTGAGAGCCAAGCTCGGTTAGGGATCATCTCCTTGTTCTTTTGGACTTCCCTGAAGGGCACTACACACTCACTGCATCTAGCAATGTGAGGCAGCCAGAACAATGTCAGTGTCAGTCAACGTCTCAGTTTACTGACTATAGACTTCTACCTCAGTGGAGATGGTAAATTGCACATGCATAACGCTGATGTTTTCATTTGCAATTATGCAGAGTAACTAAGTTGTTCCAAAATATTATAATAGGACAATAGACCGCTTATTGGGAACATGTAATTTCCTGAATAAAATACTTATTTTTCAAAAATAAAAATCCAGTGACAGAAAATCTCAAACCTTGTTCTTCAAGTTCCCCATCATGCATTTTCCCATCAAAGTCTTCTGACATCTCAATGGCATTATCCTCGCCCTTAATGTCTGATTTTGAGTCTGGATCCTCTTTATCTTTTTCTTGACCTTTATGAAATGTATCTTCTGCCTAAACCAAAAAACAAATGTAACTTAATTAATGTTTTTTTCAGCTCTAAAAAGAACATAAATGCCAAGATTAATGGTATAGTTATCTCTGGGGAGAGAAAAAAGAAAAACAACAGAGATAACCACACGCAATGATTTCAGGTTTGCTTTAACATTTCTATAGTTCATTTCCAGTTTTAAGACATTTGTGATTAGAGAATGTAGAATTTTGCTGAGGTTTTCTTCACGTGAATTATGAAAAAATCCGTATTTAAAAAGAATACATATTCTGTCTGTAGGATAAAAAAAAAATTCATCAATCTTACTATACTGTCTTTATCGTTGTTTGTCACTTTGATCTCTCATAGATAGTAACCCACTATGAATGTAATTTTGTTCCCTTTTCCTTAAACTATATATTTTTACATACTCTATGTGATATTTGGGGCAAAAGACGCATGATTGTTATCTTTCATTATGGCTAAATTTTAAGTCCTTTTTTAATATACATAAAATAATAAAATGTTATTAACAGAATTCTAAGCACAACAGAAAGAGTAAGTTTCCTATGGCACTGCCATCTTGCAAAATTCCCAAAGAAATTACCACCATTCTGGTGCATCTTTTTATCCATGAATACACCATGAAAAGTGATATAAGTGGTATGTATCAACACCTGCCTCCCAACATCATTTTAAACAAAAACAGAAACATGGTTTACAAACTGTTTTGCAATTTGTTTTTCTTTAACTTAAAAAAATGTCTCTTGGATATTTTCCATGTTGACACATATAAATCTATCTCATTCTGTTTATTTATAGTATTGCTCTGCATATTTGACTCATTAGCGTTTCTATAAATATACATAATTTAATACTTCCAAATCATTCTGATAGCTTTTTCTCTCTCTTAATGTTTTTGCATTGGGTTGTACTTTTTCTATTCGATTTCTTTTAACTTTGATTTTCTTTCCATTAGAGAAGTACTGTGTGCTGACTAAGGTAAATTTGAAAACTACAGAAAAGCCAAAGTAACATATATATCCAGGACAGAGCCCCACCACAGAAACACTAGCATTACTTTTTGGTTTTTTATTTCTTTCCAGTTTTCCCTTCAGAGAGAAAGGAGGTTCAGTTTGCGCCTTTATTTTTAATAGCAATAACATATAGAAATTTATGGTCTGCTTTAAACTAACAATATAATTATATTACCTCTTATTTCTTCAAGTCACAGGGGATTAATATAAATGACTAACAGTAGTATGTATAAAAAAAAAAAATCACTCCAAAATGGTAGGTATTTTA